GGTATTCCATTGCCATTCAGATACTGTAGGTGCATGAATTCAGCAAAATAATTCAATATAGGCCAGTCGACCATAATACTAGTGGGTTATCTACAGAACTGGCAATGTCAGAAGTTGTTGACTTGAGCCATTTACAGCTCAGCATATTAATATGGCTTTACGTTTTATATCTCATATTTATACTTTTCTGCTGGATGGTTAAGACCAAGATAAAGCAAGACCTATATAACAAAAAATGTAACTTTTGTATCTGACTAAGTTAGTCAAATCCCCTCAGGATTTACCCTGAAACCATCTGCAGCAGTTTGTAGATCTTTTGTCACTGTCGGCCATCTGGATGAGTCACGGCCATTGCTTGACCAGTTTGATCTCTGTGAAAACCTGAGAGAATGTTTTCTCTCTAGGTGATTCTCCTTAGGCACACTCTACATTGTTGATCACTTTCCCCTGTGGCACCATAATCTCCTTGAACAGAAAATTTGGGACAACACTGAGTTATAGGATGTTATAGTACAAGTTCTATGTCCTTAGTCCTCATTGACCTTCAAAGGCTAGGGCCAAAATGTTGGCTATCCTTGTAGCCCTTCTTTTTCTCTAATTTTTTGGTCTGCAGACATAAGTTGTTAGCCCTCCAGAAGAGAAGCTTAATGGTATTGTTGCCCTACAACATAGGCAGTTGAGCTTAACATCACTATGTGTTTGAATATCAGATGCCTTAGACCTAACATGGAATGGGTATTTTCCAACAATCATTGATATGCTAAACTTTAAATCCCTAGCGAATGTGAAAAAAGTAGAAAATTTAAAAAAAAAAAACAGTTGCACATTTTTACACAGAAGTTTAGAAATCTAACCAACAAAATCTAATACAACATTGAGGCAGGACATTCCTATGATATTTTTCTTGTTTTCTTTTATTACCTTCTTTTTTAAACAAACTTTTACTTGAGAGAGAGTATAGCAGTAATTGATATGATATTAGAAGCAGTATGCATTTAGAAGACCAGAATGACAGGCATTCCAAGCATGGCCCTAGTATTACACATGCTGTCCTCAGTGCAGTTGCATAGTTCACAGGTATCAGCATATATAGTTAGTCAGTGTGAGAATCCTACCAATTAACTGCTAGTTTCAAAAACCTAATGGATAAAAACAAAACAAAACAAAACAAAAAACCTAAAGGAGATTCTCAGGACCATTGCCTTAACCATCTTGTGTATATAAATGTGTGGTTTTGCCCCTGCCATGTTTCCTACCTTTTCTCCTTGCCTTTTTTTATTGTTTAATAATTAAGTTCTCGCTTTCCATTTAGTTGTGCTATACCTTTCAATTTTTATTTCTTCTTTTGAGTTCTTATACTAGGGAGACTATATGATATTTATACATGTGGGTCTGGTTTATTTCACTTGTGAGTATATCTTCAAGTTGCATCCTCTTATATATGAAGACTTTGAATTTATCCTTCTTTATAGCTGAATAATACTCCATTGTATAAAAACATAATTTTTTCATCCATTGCTCAGGTGATGGGCATTTTGGTTGCTTCCAAGATTTGGCTCTCACAAATTGTGCTGCTATAAACATAGGTGCACATATATCACAATGATATGATGTTTTCAGTTCTTTGGGGAAAATTCCCAGAAGGGGGATATCTGGATTGAATGAGATTTCCAGTCCTAGTTTTCTAAGGAGACTCCACATTGATTTCTGTAGTGGTTGTACCTGTCTACATTCCCACCAGCAGTGGAGAGACAGCCTCTCCAACATTTGTTGTTTTCTGATAGCCCTTCTTTCTGGGGTGAGATGGTATCTCGGTGTTGTTTTAATTTGCATTTCACAGATGGCTAGTGATGTGGAGCATTTTTTCCTGTATTAGCTTCTAGAATTTCTTCCTCTGAGAAGTGTGTGTTAATCTTGGATGCCCATTTCTGGATTGATTCTTTAAATTTTGGGGTCCTAATGCTTTTTAATTCTTTATAAATTCTAGAGAGAAGACCTTTGTCTGAATGCTTATTAAGATTTTTTCCAAATTTGTGGGCTGTCTTTTCACTCTGTTGGTAGTTTCTTTTGGCGTGTAAAAACTTCTCAACAAGAGGAGGTCCCAGTTGTTAATTCTTTCAAGTATTACCTGTGCAGTTTTATTCTTGTTCATAAACTGTCTACCCCTATGTCTTCAAGGGTTCCTCTTATTTTCTTTTGTAGGAGATTTAGTGTTTCTGTTTTAATGTTTAGATCTTTAATCCACTTTGATTTTTTAGTTTAGTGCGTGGTGATAGACTTGGGTCAAGTATTAATTTTTGGTATATAGAGAGTCAGTTTTTCTAGCACCATTTGTTAAAGAGGTTGTCTTTCTTCCAGTAAGCATGTTTGGCCCCTTTGTTGAAGATAAGGTGGCTGAGTTTGTTTGTAGTTGCTTTTGCATCTTCTAATCTATTCCATTGATCCTCAGGTTTGTTTTTGTTTTGTTTTGTTTTCCTCCAATACTATGCCTCATATTATCTTTTAAGAAAAACAGCTTGAGATAAAGTTCACATTTATAATTCACCCTTTAAAATATCCAGTCCAGCGCTGGGGAGATAGTTCAGTGGTCTAAGTGCCTGCCTGCAAGTGCGCGGATCCAGGTTCAGTCCCTGATGCTGCCTGCCATGCCAGTCCCAAAACCCTGGGTGAGACCCTATACCAAAAAAATAAATTAATATATTAAAGATTTTTAAGAATTAAAAAATCCAGTCCTGAAGAGTGCTCACAGAACTGTTGTAACCATCACTAAAATTGGTTTTAAAACATTTTCATCACCCCAAGCAGAAGCTCCGCTAGTAGCCATTTACCATATGTGTCTCCCTTTCCCCTATCAGTGTTTCCTTCTTTTGTCACTGGCAATTAACTTAGCTATAGTCTGTTCCTATGTATCTGCCTATTCTGGACATTTAAAGAATAACTCTCCTTTTTAACTACATTTGTATCCTCTGACTAGCATCTTCCTCTTTCCCTCCTCTCTGACCACCTCACCTTCGTGGTACCCATCATTCTGCTATCTGCATTTGTGACAGCAACTGTTTTAGATTACACATAGCATTGAGGTCATATTGTACCTGTATATTTCATGTAAGGCAGTGTGATTCAGGGTTATCAAGGTCTTTTTGTGGTTGGAGAAAAGTATTCAGTTGTGTGTAAGTGCCACATTTTCTTTTGTTGTTCATTCATAATGTACACTTTGGTTGATTCTGTATCTTGGCTAAACAGTGCTGCAGTAGACACAAGAATGCAGCTATCTCTCTTCAATATGCTGATTTCATTTCCTTTGGATGCATACCTCTTAGTAGGATTGTGGGATCCTATGGAAGTTTTGTTTTGTAGTTTTTTAGGACCTGTTACATTGTACCATAGTGCTATACTAATTTACATTCCTATCAGCACAGGGTAAGGGTTCACTTTTCTCCACATCCTTAACAATAGTTATCTTTTTCTTTTAGAAAATAGCCATTTTAATAGTAGTGAGGATATGTCTCGTTGTGATTTTGGTTTGAGTTTCTCTAATGATTCAAATTATAGTATCTTTGAAAATAGAATAGTTCCTATGATTGTTTACAGAGAAGAGCAAGGATCCATTAAGATTCATGTTTGATTGATGCTAAGACTTGTGTTCTTGTTACTGTTTCCTACTATACTACTTAAGTGACTCAACATAAGAATGTTGTATTAGTAAATATAAAGAAAAAATTCCATTTTAATGTATATGACAGCTTTTTTTTTTTTTTTTTTTTTTGGCGGAATCGGGGATTGAACTCAGGCCCTAGCACTTGCCAGGCAAGTGCTTAGTCTACTGAGCCATCTCCCCGGCCCTGTATATAACATTTTTAAGTTTGTAGAGTTTTCTGGTTTTTACAGATGAGGTCAGAGCATTAAATGATTTTTCAAAAGTTAAACTAATGAGGCAAAGGCTGGAATCTTGTCCCCTTAAGTCTGCCATAATTAAAAAAAAATAGCATAGAAAATTCATAGTAATTAATTACTTAAATTTCATGGAATTAGCCTTTGGTTTCCCATGAGGTAACTCATTTTAGAGCTTGCTATCATAGTCATTGTTTTACTCTCTGTGTCAAAAATGCAGCACCGAGTTCTTCACCAGTGGGAATATCAGAGTGGCTTGACCAGAAGTTAACAAAAAGTGATCGGCCGGAGCTGACTGGTGCCAAAGTGGTTGTATCTGGTGGTAAGTATAATGTTAATTTTCTAAGAATTAAAAACGATAAACCATAAACTTTATAATATAATACTGCTTTTTTTTTGGTATTTTAAAAAAGCATGGACTTCTCTTCAAATGTAAAAAGTTGGTAAGTTCCAAAGATTGTTCCCATTTTACCAATAGGAAAATGAAATTCTAAACAATTAGTACGTAGGTGGGCTTTCTGTTGTACATCTGAGTCACTGGCACCAGGGGGAGCATTTTACAAGTCTTGTAATTTCGCACTGTCTTCTGTGTTATTCTGCAGAGTATAACTGGTTCTGAATCAGGGAGAGGTAGTTAAAACCTCAGGACCATCTGGCGTATACCCCTCCCTACTGCAGTCTGCTTTTAAGGACTTCCAGGGTTGTACTATATCAGTATCTGTGTATAACACTGAGAATTTCTTCACATTTGATATCAAAGTTGTTAGTATTGCAGAAGACTTTCTTTTTTGATATATTCTTTTTAAAAAAAAATTTATGTATTTGGTATAGGGTCTCACTATGCATATCGGACTTGTGGAGATTCTCCTGTTTCAGCCTCCCCAGCACTGGGATTACAAGCCTGGGCTACCACACCCAGTTGGCTGGCTTGGCACAGGGCCGGCATGGCATGTGGTACCTGAGATCAAACCCAGGTCCTTGCACTTTCCAGGTAGCACTTAGACCACTGAGCTATCTCCCTGGCCCTTATTTTTTAAGAAAAGACTTTGTATAGCCTATTCACTGACTTTCTGAAAAATAAGCACTGGAGTGATCTTAAATTCTTTTTAAATCAACCATTAAACAAAATAATTTTCCAAATAGACTTCTGTGTATTTGACCTATTTAGTCACTTTATTTTTTTATTGTGTGTCTGTTCAAGAGTTTGTTGCAAAGTCTTGGAGAAACAAAAATGAAAAGGCAGATTGTTCTTGATCATAAGCTGTTTAAAGTCTGTCAGGGTGACTTTCTTTCAAGTAACTTCATTTAGAGGATATTTAATATATGTATAGAATTTTTCTAAACACTACAGATACAATAGTAATATTCTAGATAGATATAGATCCTGCATTCTAGTGGAAAAAAAACTTGGAGTAAAG